CAGTGAAACAAGTGGTTCGTCGTCTCGAAACCCACGAAGAAGAGGGCAATGCGCTGGAAAGTCTCAAATTCCGAACCAAACGCGAGTTTTTCTCGGAAAAACAACGAAGCATCTCTGTCAGTGCCGAGAGAGAGAAATACAATGCGCAGGTGGCTCAACGCGCGAAGGAGGAGGCGGAAGCCAAGGAACGACCCAAATCGCCCGCGAAACCGACCAAGAAGGGCTCGGTGATGTCCAGTGTTCGCAACATGGCAAGTCGCTTCGAGAAAAAGGCAGAGCAATCTCTTGACAACTTGTCGTTCCGAACAGTCCGCAGCTTTTTCCCGACTGAAAAGAGTATCCATGTTGGTGCGGAGAAGGAAAAATATGAGGCTTTAGAAGCTCAGAAGACTTCGACTACAGACGAGGCTGTTGCTGAGCAAGCTGATGGCTTCAGTACCCCGACGAGACCCACGCGGTCGGCTACTCTTCAGAACAACCACACCCCCGAACCGATTGCTCGTCGGTATACCGTTACGAAAGAGAGTCCGAATGTCCGAGGGATTGCCAGTCGATTCGAAACCAAGCGCGCGAACTCGGTCGTCACGGCTCCAGTGCGTACGATCGACTCGTTTATTGTCGCCGACAGTGAAGCCAGCGTCCGAGTGTCTGCGGAGAAGGCCAAGTTCGAGAACAAGACCAACACGTCCACGCCCATCAAGCGGACGATCGATTCCTTCATCGTTTCGGACAGTGAAGCCAGCGTCCGAGTGTCAGCCGAGAAGGCCAAGTTCGAGAACAAGACCAGCACTTGTACACCTGTGAAGCGTACGATCGACTCGTTCATTGTTGCAGATAGCGAGGCCAGCGTCCGAGTGTCGGCCGAGAAGGCCATGTTCGAGAGTCAGCAGAAGTTCGCGACCCAAGTGAAGCGGACGATTGATACGTTTATCGTCGCAGACAGTGAAGCCAGTGTGCGTGTGTCAGTGGAGAAGGAGAAGTTTGAGTCGCTGGAGAAACACACGACCGGTCCGACCACAAGGACGATCGACACGTTTATTGTCCCGGAGAGCGAGGTGAGTATTCGGGTTGCAGCGGAGAAAGCCAAGCTGGAGGCGTTGGAGAAGCAGAAGCTGAAGGAGCTGGAGGAACAAGCGGCGATTGAACAGCAAAAGCTCGAGAGAGCCAAGTTGCTGGCTGAAGAGAAGGCGAAACAGGAGGCGGCAGAGAAGGTGAGGCTGGAAGCAGAAGAGAATGCGAGGCTTGAAGCGGAGGAGACAGCAAGACTGGAAGCGGAAGAACTGGCCAGGATGGAAGCAGGGGAGAAGGCTAGACTTGAAACGGAGGAGAAGGCTAGACTCGAAGCGGAGGAGAAGGTGAGACTGGAAGCAGAGGAGAAGGCTAGATCGGAAGCAGAAGAGACAGCAAGACTTGAAGCAGAAGAGGCAGCAAGACTTGAAGCTGAGGAGATGGCGAAGCTCGAAGCAGAAGAGAAGGCACGGCTTGATGCGGAGGAGAAGGCGAGACTGGAAGCTGAGGAGAAAGCTAGACTGGAGGCTGCTAGGATTGAAGCTGAGGAGGAGGCTAGACTCGAAGCAGAGGAGAAGGCACAGCTTGAGGCGCAGGAGAAGGCAAAACTTGAGGCGGAGGAGAAGGCTAGACTTGAAGCGGAGACGAAAGCTCGACTAGAAGCGGAAGAGAAGGCAAAGCTCGAGGCGGAGGAACAAGCTCGGCTTAAAGAAGAGGAAAATGCAAAACGTGAAGCAATGGCAAAAGCCGAGCATGAAGCAGCAGAGAAAGCTCGACTGGAAGCAGAAGAGAAGGCTAAACTAGAGGCTGAGGAGAAGGCTAGACTTGAAGCAGAAACGAAAGCTCGACTGGAAGCGGAGGAGCAGGCCAGGCTGGAGGCAGCAGAGAAAGCAAAGCTCGAGGCTGAGAAGGCACAGCTTGAAGCGGAGACGAAAGCTCGACTAGAAGCGGAAGAGAAGGCAAAGCTTGAGGCGGAGGAACAAGCCAGGCTTGACGCGGAAGAGAAACTCCGACTGGCTGCAGAAGAGAAAGTCAGACTGGACGCCGTAAAGCTCGAGAAGACTCGTCTCGAAGCTGAAAAGCAAGAGGCGTTGGAGAAAGCTAGACTCGAAGCAGAGGAAAAGGCCGCAAGGTTGGAAGCTGAAGAGAACGCCAGGCTTGAGGCTGAAGAGAAACTCCGACTGGAAGTAGAAGAAGCAACACTTGCAGCTGCAAAACTCCAAGCTGAGGAGAAAACTCGTCTGCAACTGGAAGATAAGGCTAAGCAAGAGGCGGCGGAAAACGCACAGCTGACCGCCATCAAAGCCGCCGAGGAAGCCAAAGCCATGGAAGACGCTTCGACAACCGAAGTGGCAGCGAAGACCGTGGAGGATGCTGAGCCTGAGGGGGTCGCAATTAAAGAAACGCTGGCGGTCCAGGAGCCTGAAGCATCCTCTGAAGTAGTTGAAGTAGTGCAAGGGACAAAAGAGACCGCAACAACTCATGAAGTTACAGAGTCGGAGGTGATAACAACGACTGAGACCAAAGAGACCAAGCAGGTTCACGTGACGGAACAAGTAGAGACCGAAGAAGTGCTGGAAGTTGATGTAGTTCAGGAGCAAGTGACGGACGTACGCAGCGAGACGACGGAGGTTGTCCGCGAGGCCCCTGTTCGCTCCCCCAGCCTCGTAGAGATCACAGTGGAGCACCAGACATTCGCCGACGTGGTCTCGACAGCCCAGCACGTGCACTGGCTGTCGATGCCTGTGAGTGCCAACCCTGCTCTTGCGCGTCTTCACACGGTACTGAACGACCAAGACCCGCTCACTGCGTACGCTCTGTACCCTACCAGTCCGACATCTTCGGCGCACGCAGGAGAGGAAGAGGAGTTGCCGTTGCCGCATATTCCCACGTCCAAACCGCCATCGCCAACCAAGTGAAAAGGAAAAGCACCGCACCAAAAGACGTTGGCAAAAAGTTGCCATTACCAACACTCCCGTTTACCTTGTTCCTTGATTGTTTCCGCAATATTCGCAATACAACTGTGTCCGGTATCTTGATTGCTCGTTGCAAGCATGCAAATCCGTAAGATTTTCCACTCACTTTGCAACCTTTCAAGATGCACCAAAGCTTCGCCTTCCTTGAGCCTTGGTGCGCGGTTCTTCGAGGTCGGTTGTCTACGGAAAGTCGGTCCTCTGAGAACGTATGGCTCTCCGTTCGGCCTCCGTTGTCACTGCTGGCGATTATCAACCGTGAAGCTGCTTAGATTCGACTGTTGCGAGAAGCGCTGGAGCTCCTGAGTCTCGTGGCAACTGTCGACATTGAAGCATGCAAATCTCTGCTACTGGAACGTTGCGGACTCAAAGTGGACGACCAATTCGATGAAAATTACATTCCCAGGTTCATCTTTCGGTTTGACGCAAATCATTTACGCTACAGTGCAATGTTGCCGTCGGCAACTCTTCGCCAATTTTTTCTGACCAAGACGGAGGATCAAACCAGTGACTTCCAAGAGGCAATATCCGCCTTGCTAAGACTTCACAATAGACGTCAAGAGATTATTAAAATCTCATACACTGTGGAGTTCACGGACTTGTGGCATTTGGGGCAGTCGGTGCTGTCGGCACATTGGAGCGAGTTGCTGGCAACACTGAACGATATAAAAAAACACAACACACAACGAGTACTTGACAGGTACTTTACGTACGAACAAGAGTCCGTACAGTTGTGTCTTGGCACGATTCCAGTGTCACGTGAGCTCCCAATTGCGTCCTTAGCAATGCTGAAAATACCTGATTTGACCATTTCGGAGCTTCAACTGGCAATGCAACAAGAGTTGCCGATCAGATTCTTCCGTCCGGGTGAAATGCATAAGCAATTATTGGCGCAATATCATTGTAGCAAGTTATTTAACGCCATTTACTGTGGCCAAGGACCCATAATTCAGTCGCTTGTCATTCCGATGTTTGCAGTGGACGATCAAGTGTTTTCCGGGTTGTGTACGTCGCTGGTTGACGCTTTAAGAGTACACGAGTTGACGATCAATGGCGCGTTTCAGTCACTTACACCGACGCAACGTACGTGGCGCTGGCAGTTGCTTACCTACGCTCTGTTCAGTGACGCGTCTCGGTCGTCTATTAAAGAACTCAACCTGATTGGAGTCCAGTTGAGTCAACACGACGTTGATGCGATTGCTCAGGTGCTTGCAACAAACCTACCCGAGCCAGACCAACATTCTGAGGATAATAACGTCGAGTTTGTTTACGTTCCGAAAGGTGCAAATGTGACCATCATTCAGTCAATTACCAGTCCTAACAGCGTGGCAACACTGGAAACTTTCGACGATCTGGTGCTCCGTTTGCTTCAAAACGACGAAAAACACGGTCGACTTAACGTTCTGGTCCCTGGACGTGGCAACGGAGTCCTCTCATCGGATGGAGTGTACAAAGTGTTGCATCAAACATCTAATAGTGTAGAAATCACGTCGCTCTCTCTGTCGATTGACAGCAACGCAGAGTAAGAAATGGCCGTGCTGCTTCGCTTCTTGCAACGGGTAGGAGCGTCGCTGGAGAAGCTTTCGATCCAAACGGGTATCGCTACTGCTATTGACGTTCAAGCGGTAATAAAAGCTTGTCCAAGACTGGACCAACTCTACCTTGACAATGTACAACTTGACTTGGAAGTTTTGATGCTCGAGGTGGAGAAGGGAAGTGCAAATATTCAAAGCATACTACAACGCGCCTGTCAGCGTTATCACTGGATTTGCCAAGAAACTAGGAGACCCAAGTAGTGCACTGGCAAATAGCATACGGGAGTTGCACTTGAGTGCCGACAACGACGTTTCTCCGATGACTGAAGCGAGTCTACAAACGTTTCTAAACGTCCTCAAGATTAACGACAAACTGGAACTTTTGGAAATGCGCGTGTTGCCGGAGATTGCCGACCGATACGCTGCTGCGTTTCGACGACATCACCGTGAAACTCTCAGCGTTGAGGAGGAAAAGCTGCCACTTCCATGTCGTTTGGCATTCCTTAGCGTTGTCCGAGGTTGCTACGCATTGTAAACGACATGTTCCTTCACCTGGACAGCCACGTCATTCAGCAGATCTTTGACTTTGCCGCTATTAATGTCAAACGCACAGTTTGTCTTCGGAGTGATCCCTGAGAAAAGCGAAGTTGCATTTTCAACCTATTTGATCCTGAACTATAACACTTATGTATACTTTTTTTAATGCCGTTCGAAGAGCGTGATCGCGAATTTGTTCTACCAATTTTGTCCATAACAACTAGACACATATTCACGAATTTTAGTGACAAATTGTGAGTATTTTTTGCGTCGAGCTCTTTATCCTATGTTCATGTAAATTATCACTCACCGTTGGCATCATACTTCGCTCATCATTCCATCACAACTTCGTGTCAGCTGCCACAGCGCGTTCGTCATTTCGTAGTGGGTCGCCCACCCGCCTTTTGCACCACTTCAAAAAAGCTGCCGTTCGCTTTATCATAGTCGCTGATGAAACGTGAAAACACCTCGGCGCATGGTCCAACCTCAGACGGGGTCATCTTCTGGATTTTTTTTTACGACCATGTCAAAGGTTTGTTTTTCACTTAGTCACACAGTATCCCACAAAACCTCAATTGCTTCACGAGATCGCCCTCCTTAGCCAAAGCGGCACTGATCAAGGCTTGCTTAGCAACGCCATCGCTTTAGCCTCCACCAGTGAAGGGCTCGCTTGCGGCCACAAAAAGTCAAATCATTGTCGTCATAGCGCTCATACTCCTGCAACGATAGTTTGGCAATGAAGAACCGAAGTTTCTTCGTATCATCAAGGCATTTGCTTCTTTGAGAACGCGAAATCGCGCCCAATCGGCTCCTTCAGAGCCCTTATTCCTAGATTTTTTATACATTTCTGGGTGCATCCTTGCGACAACAGCAGCGCAAAATGTTCGTCATCCGGTTCCATTTTATTGATCACGTTGTGGAGCTCACCGCTCACCATCCTGTTGGGATAACGTTTGCGATAGCGGAACACCGGTGGCAAACAAATGGAGCATACCAACGCAAAGCGATATTCCCTCGTCACTCTTTCCAGAGCATGCCCAGCATCCAAATAGTAGACGACAAAGTGTGGGAGATAGGCTGCAGAACCATTGGCTTTGCCGAAGTTGTGGTGGTGCTATACTATCAAGTTTCCGCTGTCATGTGCACTCGGTGGCTGAACTACCAGAGTCACAATCCCGTCCTCAGTCTCGGCATCCTGGTATTTGAGAAAGTGGCCCCCTTCACCATACACCAGTATTAGTAATAATAGCTTGTCAAGTACGCAGTGATACGCCCGCTTAAACAGTGCAATAATGCGCAATATTCTTCACCAGTTTACTATTGCCTACAGCCCAAGACGGATTCTGAAACTCAACTTGATCCGGGTGTAGCTACCAGCGCTTCTCCGTGTCCATGAATAGTGAATAAAAGATTTCATGCTTTTTTTAACTAATTGTCCATGTTGTCACGTTGCCCGACAGTCTCACAGTACTTCAATATCTTCCAAACATCGCAACGAGTTATCTCTAAATTTTACAAATTATATCGGTACAATTCACTCCCATTTTCTTCTCTTCTGCACCGTTGTCACTTTCAGTCTGTAATTCTTTGCACCTTTCCCAGATATCCCCCCAACACTCTGCTTTCTTTCGTTGTAAGCGACGTTGAGATTTCCTACCGATGGCTTTCAAACAAGATTTTAACGATGGCAAGTGGCCTTTCGGTGGCGAAGGCGGCTCGAATGATGTCCCTACACCAGCCGGGGCTGCGTGTGTCAAGATAAGTAAGATTCTGGCCTCGGCAGATGAGCACGCAGGCGAGTATTCGTTCGGTGGCGTAGCGGATGCTCTCCCAGTCATGCCTGGACTATTCATCAATGGTGTGGGATTCATTCCTCTACCACTTGCCCCCGAACATGCAGAGAAGCTGATCGCTAAATGTGCTAAATCTCCTTTCGGACACAACATGGACACGAAGATGGACGACAGTGTCCGGAAGAGCTGGCAGTTGCAACCTGATCAACTGGAGCTCAGAAATCCGTTGTGGCAAGGAGGAATTGAGAAGTTATCGGAGACGATCGCTGCTCGCTTGGGTTACAAGGGTGTTCCATTGAACTGCGTCCTCTACAAGCTGCTCGTGTATGGAGAAGGAGGTCACTTCCTGAAACATCAAGATACCGAAAAGGAGGACGGAATGATTGCGACATTGGTAGTCCAGCCACCAAGTACCCACGAAGGCGGAGATCTCGTAGTGTATCGAAACGGACAAGTGGAACACCGTCACGATTTCGGCAAAATCGACGGCACTGCAGCTTATTTACCACACTACGCCGTGCACTATTCGGATGCTGAACATGCTCTGGAGGACGTGACGAAGGGGTATCGCCTTGCTTTGGTGTACTCAATTTGCCTTCCATCGTCCTTGCAGAGCTTGAAACGAGACCCCAACGTGACCATGAGCGATGAACTCGCCAACGCGTTCAAAGAAATGGGACCGGACGACGAATCATTCGCGCTGCTACTTTCACACGAGTATACTAAAAAGAGCATTGGGGAGTTGGGATCTGGAGCTCTAAAAGGTATTGACAGTGCACGATTCCGGGTTCTTGAAGAAGCGAATGAGTCTGTTCCAGCTGATAAGAAACTTCGGTTCTTCATTGTAAAAATCGCTATTCAAGTCGACAATCAACTAGATGAGGAAGGCTGGATGCGCTATGGCTACGAGCAAGCGCTGCACTGGTACTTGACTAGCGGAACAGATCTGGGACACTGGAAAGACGAAATTCTGTCCAAGAAACTCAATTTTCTGAATCCTAGTCACGAAACATTTCTTCAATTTTGGAAGGCGTTTGGAAACACAGAAGACGTGTATACGGGTAATGAAGGGCCTATCAAAAGCACAAAATACGCCAGGTTTGCGATCATTGCATGGCCTGCTGTTCGCCATTTGGAGAACGTGGCGAACCTCATGTCTGCGGAGCTGGCTGTTGAAGAGTTAGCTTCACGTAGACCTGTCGATGCTACCGCGCTACATAATCTTCTTGACACAACCACTACCAAGTATGGCTGGGGAGAAGTGTCCACCTGGAGACGTGTTCCTAAGGCATCAGTCAGATTTTGCCGCACGTTTTGTGAGCTACTGGTTGATTCAAATGATCTCG